TTTTTTAAAAAGAAAATGGTATTAGAAACAAAGATTTAGGTGATATGCTTATTGTCATGGGGGTGTCTTCCTTTTTGACCCTTCTCAGGTAACAATGGAAATATAGGTATATACTGTTATATATACTCATATTTATAAGCATTTCTATATATAACCATCTGAATCTATATGTGGAAAGTTTTTTTTTTACAGTCTGTTACAGATATGTAGTGTAATATTTACAGCTGCAATTATATAGCTAAGATCTGCTTTAAAAAACTCCAGAAAGTCCTGGCCATGTAGCTTAGTAGGTTGGTGGATCCTTCTGATTTGCTAAGCTTTCAGGTTCGGTCTGTGTTTAGGACACGTGCAGGAATCAACCTGTGAGTGCATGAATGGGTGGAATAACAAATTGATGTTTCTCTTTCTCTCAAATCAATAAATAAAAACTTTAGCCGGGACCGGTTTGGCTCAATGGATAGAGCGTCAGCTTGGGGACTGAAGGGCCTCGGATTCGATTCTGGTCAAGGGCATGTACCTTGGTTGCGGGCATATCCCCAGTGGGGGGTGTGCAAGAGGCAGCTGATCGATGACTCTCTCTCATCGATGTTTCTAACTCTCTATCTCTCTCCCTTCCTCTCTGTACAAAAATCAATAAAATGTATATTTTAAAAATTAAAATAAATAAATAAATAAATAAATAAATAAATAAAAACTTTAAAAACATTTTTTATAAAAATAGAGTCAGAAATGCTTCAGTTGCCAAGCTGCAATTAAAGAGGACCAAGAGAAATACAGACAGCCAGATATAATTTTGTTTAAATCTTTACCAGAGGATATTTTTATTGATTTGAGAGAGAGGAAAAGAGAGAGAGAGAGAGAAAGAGAGAGAGAGAGAGAGACATCAAATTGCTTCCTGTAGGCACCCAAGCCAGGATCAAACCCTGGATATGTGCTCTGACCAAGAATCAAACTTGCCACCTTTTGTTGTACTGGGAACAGGCCAACCAACTGAGCCACACCAGCCAGACCAGATATGGGGCATTTAGAAACACAGACACACACACACACCTGAAACACTTCCTCTTTAGGTGAAATTCTGCCATCTCTACATGAAACTTTAAGAGGACAAATTTTGTTCTTTCACACATTTGGACTCATCTGCTGGTTCAGAAACCCCAAACTTATTGCTCTCTTCCTACTTCCTAAATCTGCTTTTGGGGTGAAATCTGATTATCTGAAAGTCCCCTATGATTATGAATCAAAGTCTGGTTTCTTCTAGGAAGTTACCTTTCGGCTTCATCTTTGGCCAGGAGCGGCATTGTTTTTGGCTTTGGAATTTCAGGCAAGGTGTATTTAGCTGGCGCAGCAACAGTCCCCACCACCCCAGAATCACACCTGCAGGTCCTTGTCTCCCAAGCCCCACAGGCACAGGTCCCTGTTTCTCTAAGATGATGAGGTACATAGTCCGTGGCCTGCCCCATTCCTTCAGTGAAACTTCTCAACTCTCCCCTCTTTAACCGGTAGTTGGGAAAGAGTAGGTCCTTGATCATAGGGCTGGGGAAACCACCAGGACTCCAAGGCTCACTTTGTATCATCTTTTACTTTTTTCTTTTTAAAAAAATATATTTTATTGATTTTTTTACAGAGAGGAAGGAAGAGGAATAGAGAGTTAGAAACATCGATCAGTTGACTCTTGCACACCCCCTACTGGGGATGTGCCCTCAACCAAGGTACATGCCGTTGACCGGAATTGAACCCAGGACCCTTCAGTCCGCAGGCCAACGCTCTATCCACTGAGCCAACCCGGTTTTGGTAACATCTTGTATTCTCTTGGTGCATTGTCCCCCCGCCCCCACCCCAAACTCTGAAAACGATGAAGCAGCTGCTTCCTGAGAAGGCAGAGAGTGGGCAGATCCTTAATTCACCTGAGTAAGGAAATGCCAGGGTCCAACCTAGCTCTATGTATAAGGGCCTTCCTCTCCCTGGCAGCCCCTTCCTACTCCCCAGGGATAGATCATAGGGGCCCCTGTTCCGCTCTGAGGACTGGAATTGCTGGGACAGCTGCTCCTGCATTAGGTCAAACACATTTCCTGTTGATTTGATTAGTTTCCTTCCAAGCAATGCGTTTTTGAAAGGAAGGGAGATTTTTGCAGGCATAGGCAGCCAACCTCCTCCAGTCGCAAGCGCTCTTGCTCTTTCTCTCTCTCCCTCCCTCTCTCTCTCACACATACACTTTCTCCCATCCACCCACAAAGTGTCAGTCACATTTAGAGTTTGCATAAATGCACAGCCTCCCTCACATGTCACAATGCACACCCTCTCACCCACCTACGCACCTCTGCCACAAAATCACACCTGCCTGCAGACTCTTAAAGTATGTTCTCTACCAGAGAGAGAGAGAGAGAGAGGATAGGTAAGAATGGGTGTGAGGGCTCAGGAAGGCAAGCACCCTATTGGATCTGGGAACTCTGAAGATCAGGGCCCTATAATCTGCCCTACCCTGCAAGTAGAAATTCTGAGGATTGAGAGGGGTTCTGAAGTAGGGGCAGAGGAAGCAGGAACTCAGGGCTCCTGGCCCCACCTGGAAAGTGTGCTGCTGGCGGGGACAGTGGTGTGCCTCCCGTCGGCAGCTGAGGTAGGAAGTCGGACAAGGCTCAGAAAAGAATGGAACAGCACTCATGACGTGTCCGAGAAGCCCATTTTGAGGGGTAGGAAACGAAGGCCCTTGGGCTGGGATTCTTTGTCAGCGTTCAGGAAATGGCGGGGAGGGGAGTGAAGGAAGTGGAAGGTTGTGTTTAACATTCTCTAGGAAGGGTCTTTTCCACATCAGTCAGAGTCAATTAAAGGAGACTTCCTTCCACTGCAAATGTGTAGTCCCCAGGAGAGGAGAGGTGGGGGAGAGAGCCTGAGAAGTGACAAGTACTCCATCGAGTGCAGGCCTGCAGCAGCCACATTGCCCTATGGCAGCCCTTCTGAATCTGGTTTCGGCCCAAGCTCAGAATCTATAGATTCTGGCTGAAACTGGTTTGGCTCAGCGGATAGAGCATTGGCCTGTGGACTGAAAGGTCCTGGGTTTGATTCCAGTCAAGGGCATGTACCTTGCTTGGGGGCACATCCCCAGTGGGGGGTGTGCAGGAGGCAGCTAGTGGATGTTTCTAGCTCTCTATCCCTCTCTCCCTTCCTCTCTGTAAAAAATCAGTTATATATATTTATATAAAGAATCTGTGGATTCTGGAACCGAACAATCCCCCTCCCCCCCGCCCCCCCTTAAGAAAGGGCCCTGGAGCTAACCCACAGTGCCCAAGAAAATTGGTAGAGTGCTCAGATAACCCAAGACTCGGCCCCTGCGCTTCCGGCGTCTCTCTCTGTGCTGCCGCCTGGGGGCGCCCCCAACGGGGTCGGAGGCTGCCTCCAGCACTGCTGTTGGTATCACAGTAATTAATACACAAGCACTAATGGGGCCAAGTGAGGAAGAGGCAGGCTCCGACGGCTCAGAAGGCGAACCCCTGGAAAGATCCAATGAGGCTGCGAAAAACGAGGGGCTCAGTGTCTGGGCCCGCCTCCCCGCCCCGGAGCTCCGGGGAGGACCCTCTGGAGTAGGCGCCAGGGCCCAAGCAGAGGCCAGGGCGAGGGGAGGGGAGCACCCGGTAACCTGGATTTGGAACCAGCTCTGCCTCTGCCCCACAGGCTGTCCGTGGGCACAGCCCGGTGGTGACTGGTTGTGGGACAGGCCAAGCTCTGAGGAAATGCCTTAACCGACATCTGCCTGCTTATTTACAGAGCGCCTACTGTGTGCCAGGCGTTCTATTAGTAATAACGAATGTCAGCCAAAACCGGTTTGGCTCAGTAGATAGAGCCTCGGTCTGAGGACTGGAAGGTCCCAGATTCGATTCCAGTCAAGGGCATGTACCCTGGTTGCGGGCACATCCCCAGTGGGGGGTGTGCAGGAGGCAGCTGATTGGTGTTTCTCTCTCATCGATGTTTCTAGCTCTCTATCCCTTTCTCTTCCTCTCTGTAAAAAAATCAATAAAATATATTAAAAAATAATAATAACGACTGTTTTACTGGGTATTGTAATAATACAGCCAACTTTCCTAACATGCCCTGCCTAGAGGGGTAGCTAGAAGCTGAGGAAGCAATTTAGGGAGAAAGACCAGAGGTGGTGCTGGGCTCTGGCTGGCAGAGGAAGCCCGAGGCTTCGCAAGAAGAGCTGGGAGAGCTCCCAGGTCGCGGCGCTGCAGCGGCGGAAGTGGAGCATGGACTGGGGGGTTGGGGGAAGGCACTGGAAGCAGCACGGAGGGGTCCCGGTGGATCCCGCGGTGGGAGCCCTGAGTCACTGAGTCACGACAGCGGGGCCGCGGCGGGGAGGCTGCAGGCTGGAGGCTGGCGGTGTGTGCCGGCATCGGGTGCTCTGTCCCGAGAGACAGGTGCTGGGATTCGCCATCAGAGCCTGGACAGAAGTTGAGACGTGGTGGAGGCTTCTTTCTAGCAAGGCTTTCGGGGGAAGGACCTGGAGTTCGGGGTTTGAAAAGATCCTGGAGTGTATTTCGCATTTGGGGAAGGAGGGGCGTGGCCGGGGTGCCCATCCAGGGGCCCCGTCAGAGCCGGGGTCCGGCGCCCGGGCAGCGGGGGCGGGGGTGCGGCCCCCCAGAGGCCGGGGGCCGGGATGGCAGCCGCCAGGTTGGGCTGCGAGCGGCCGGGGCCGCGGGGGGCGGCGCCAGCTCCGGGGCGGGCGGGAGGCCGGGAGGAGGCGGCGGCTCCGAGGACATGAATCAGCGGCGGCGGCGACGGCGGCGACGGCCGTGGAAGGAGCGCGGTGGCCCCGGAGCAGCCCCGCCGACCCCGCGCCGCGGACCCAGGCCGCCGCTCCCCCGCCCCGGCGCGGGTCTCCGGGCCCGGGCTGCAGCCCCGCCCCCGGCCCCCGCCCCCGGGACCCTCCTCCCGGCCCTCCTCCTCCTCCTCCTCCCCCTCCTCCGGCCGCTCCGGGCCCGGCCCGGCATGGTGCGGCGGCGCCGCCGATGGCGCTGAGGCGGAGCATGGGGCGGTCGGGGCTCCCGCCGCTGCCGCTGCTGGCGGGTCTGGCCGCTCTGCTGCTCCCCGAGCCCGTGGCCGAAGGTAGGCGCCGGCCCGGGGGGCGGCGGGGGCAGGGCCGCGGGGGGCGCGGCCGGGGTGGGAGCGGGGCCTGGCGGGCCGGGGGTTTGGGTGGGGGACCCCGCTGGAAGGCCTAGGCTGGGGGGCTGGGCTGGGGCGCAGCGCTGTGTTCGCGGTTGGATCTCGGGGCGCCCACCCCCAACTTTCTCTGGTCCGGGGCTCCTCCGGTGGGGCGGGGAGGAGGGGAGTGGGGCCGTGCGCTGGCTAGCAGGGGCGTTTGCAGCCGGATTCTCCCCCCTCCATGTTCCCAGTGGTTTGCTCTCCCCTCCCGGTTCTGGGGACCCCATCCTGCCCACACCACACACCGAGGTCTCTCTCTCTCTCTCTCTGGAACGGCAGGGGCTGGGGCTGAGCACCCAAGAGGTGCCACTCCTGGGCAGGGGCTGGGAGGGTGCCGGGGCGCAGAAAATGTCAGGGCATACTCTGGTTCCTGTGCCCACTGAGCTTCCCGGAGCCGGGGATGTTGGAGGGGATGGCTGGGGCGAAGGTGCTCGTCTTTTTGGGGTTAGCCTTGTATTCCCAAATAGCCACGGAGGCATTTGACTGGAGTGCCCCCTGTAGCACTCTGGATCTTCAAGTTTACACCACACACCCCTGGGACTGCTGCGCGGGTGTGGGTGTGGGAGGTGGCCCTTCCTGTCCTGTGACTGATCCTGACAGATTATGGGTTAAGGAAGAAACACAGGCCAGCGCAGCAGGCACCCAGCTGGCACCTTCTCTTGAGAGCGCACTCCGCCTCTCAGGGAAGGGAAGGGAAGGAGTGGCCAGTATCTGAAAGGTGTGTGTCTCAGAGAGTTTAGCATTTGTCTAGAGGCACACAGCAAAGGGCAGGAAGAGGCAGGACTGGGTTTCGGATACGCTTTCTCTGTCTAAAAACACCTAGGAGGTACGAGTGCACGTGCACGCACTCAGGGTAGTGCTCAGAGGCGGCTTCTGTTGGTGTGACAGTAGTTCAAGGGTCTCGGGCTCCCCGTTCAGCCCCCTGCCCCCCACCTCCTACCTTCCCAGCACTCGCCCCTGCACAGATTCAGGTATTAATAGAGCAGGCGGCTGCCAGGAAGGCTGCCATGTGTTTGATCTGACGTGGTTTTGCAGCCATATGTTCTCCACTTCAGGGGAGCACCCCCTCCTTCCTCCTTCCCTTCCTCAGCCTCCTTTCACTTGCCGGGGTGGGATACGGGGAGCGGGGTGCCAGCTGCAGTGCAGGTCTGGGCTGACGTCTTGGGTGGGGAACTGGCTGGGCACAGCAGTCAGTCACAAGGCAGCACCTGCCCCAGGTATGTGGGAACGCCCACTGGCAGCCTGGCTTGGCTTCTTTTTGGTTTGGGGGAGACCTGGGGGAGAGATCACTTCCTTAGCCATAGGGGCCTCGGCAGTGGCAGCAATGGGGAGTCTGTCACGCCCCTTCCCACAGCCCAGGTCTAAGTCCCTTCCACGCTGCCCTGCCTCTGCTGCCTTAGCCATCGGCTGAGAGTGAGCCCCCTGACACAAGCCAGGTTCTAGAAGAGGATGGGGATCTGTCCGGAAATGGGGGACCTCCCATGTGGGCTGAGCATTCTCCTTCCCACCGCACAGGCCTGAAGCTCATGGGAGCCCCGGTGAAGCTGACAGTGTCTCAGGGGCAGCCGGTGAGTCTCAACTGCAGTGTGGAGGGGATGGAGGATCCTGACATACTGTGGATGAAGGACGGGGCTATGGTCCAGGGCTTGAATCAGATGTACGTCTCAGTCAGCGAGCAGCACTGGATCGGCTTCCTCAGGTGCAGGACTGCGGGGGAAGGGGTGGGATGCCAGCCCGGGGACACTGGGAGCTGGGGGCAAATGCTGATGCCCAGAGGTCGGTGGTTTCTTCATTTGGCCACCGGTGGGAACTTCCAGAAGTGAGGGCGGGCTGAGCCCATTGAGTCTGCCCGGCAGAGCTGCCCCCCTTGACCTTGGGAGGTGAGCCTGGTGTCCTGTTTCCACAGCCTGAAGTCAGTGGAGCGCTCTGATGCAGGCCGGTACTGGTGCGAGGTGGAAGACGGGGGCAAAACCAAGATCTCCCCACCCGTGTGGCTCACGGTAGAAGGTGAGGGGGCACGTGGCTGTCTGCCGGTGGCCACAGCTCCGGAGAAGAAAGCTCAGTGGAAGAAAGCTGCCTGACTGTACCAGGCTCCAGGCCCACCCCCTGCACACATCGCAGGATCATACCCACTGGCATCTGGGTATTTGAGAACCAAAGGGGCAACTAGGACCCACCGCGGATGGGATGCAAGTCAGTTTCAGTTGCCTGAACAACAGCCTCAAGCACCCATCTGGGGCTGGACCCTGTTCTGCCAAGTGGCCAGGGCAGAAGGGGAAGGGGAGGGGGGCGGGGAGGATGGATCCGCAGCTGTGGGAGCTCAGAGCTTTTCAGCCCAGGAAAACAAAGTGACTAAGAAAGTAACAAAGGGCTCTGAACTGGATCTGGGTCCTGCCAGCAGCCCTCAGCTCAAGCTCCCGCCCACTTCTCCCTCTCTGCCCTTCTCCCCGCTCCCCACCCTCTGCCCCTTGCTTGCTCCGAGAGGGACTGGCAGCGAAGGTCTGGGAAGGGGGAATCTGCCATGCCCAAGGGGACAGCGTAAGCAATACTCCTAAGTGGGGGGTCAAAGAAGAGCTCTCCTGTCACGCCGGGCTCCTGTTGTACAGGAGACCCAACCCTCAGGGCTGCGGGGGCTTAGGCAGCGGGGCTTCCAGGAGCAAACCTGCGGTGCGGGCAGTTGGGAGCGGAGAGGTGGCAAGGCTCACTCCGTGCTCCTCCTCTCCCTAGGTGTGCCGTTCTTCACCGTGGAGCCCAAAGACCTGGCCGTGCCGCCCAACGCCTCCTTCCAGCTGTCTTGTGAGGCTGTGGGTCCCCCTGAGCCTGTCACCATTATCTGGTGGAGAGGGGGCACCAAGATTGGGGGCCCTTTTCCCTCCCCTTCTGTTTTAAACGTAACAGGTGAGCCACCTCCAGAGGACTTCTGAGCAGGGGCGGTGGGGCTGGCAGAGTTCACATCTGCTCCAGTCCCTGCTTGCTGTTGTGAGTGTCCGGAGCAAACCCTGGTGCCCGGGCATGCGAGCTGCGCCATTGCTGAGCTCGTTCGTCAGGTGTGCGGGGCCAGCTGGTGGGCACGTGAGCGGCGATCCTGCCGTGTGTGCTTAAGGAGGATGCTGGGGCCTCTCTCCCTGGCTCACCACGGTGCAGGCTGGGTACAGCTGGCCCTGGGAGATGAATTGGGAGGGAACAGGGGCACCCATTCGTCCTCCACCCCTCAGTCCTCCCCAGAAATGGAGCCAGGGACTAGCCCACGCAGAGCTGGGAGGAGTGTCTGGCAGACGTGCCTAGAAGACTCAGGCAGGGGGAAGGGAAACGGGGAGGGGAGGCCAGCACCAAAAATGCAGGGCCTCCCCTCCTAATGGCCCTCGCATTGTTTTCCTAAACAACTGTATCTGCGCATACCTCCACCCGGTTAACCTGTGGCAGCCACACCTGCACATCCACCTGGCCGGGAAGATCCTTGGGCACATACCTCACGTGCCTGTGAGGCTCGCTTATCTGTGAAGCTGTCTCTGGTCCAGGCTTGAACTGGCCCAAAGAGATTGCTGTCTGAGCTCCGTGTCGCGAACTGGCAGGAAATGCCCGTCTCCCCTGCCCTCTCTCCTCCGCCGTGGGGCAGGCTCTGCTCTGCTCAGTCCCTCAGTCCTATGGATCTTGAGACGAGGCGGACTGCGGGACCTGTTGGAAACAAGGGCAGGTCTTGTTTGGGAGACGCTGGGCTGGAGCAGAGGAGGAGGGAGGTTGGGTTTTAGTTCTCTCGAGGTGTGGGTGGCTGGGACCCTCCGGCAGCCAGCCTGAAAATAAGCACTCCCTGAACTCCTCCTCCACACGCCACACTGCTAGGCACCACGGGGGATGGAGGGAAAAACAAGAGAAATAGAAACCATCTGTCCAGCCCCCAAGGAATGAGAGACAAGACACCTGCACAAGGAGCTGAGAGCTGTCGCAGGGCAAAGCATCTGCAAACACAGCAGCCGCAGGCAGAGCAAACAGAGAGGGGCTCTGGAATGCGCAGTGAGGAGTGACGAGGAGAGGGAGGCAGTCTTGTGCTGTCTCCTTCGGAGCGGGGCTGGAGGTGGGAGGGGTGGGATAGCATTTCTCAAGCGCTGTGTGTTCTGCACTTGACGTCATTGGGTCCTCACCGGGTCTCCCATCAGGGAGATGAGAAGACCGAGCCCCAGGCTCATAAAACTCCAGTCCCCTGTTCCTTCTGCCTACCCCACTCTCTAGCCCCTTCCTGTAGCTGGAAGGTCTTCTAGCCTAAGTGGCCACCTCCCCATCCCGATCCCGGACTGAGTGGGAGTTGCTGCTTGGCAGGTGGGAGGGAGCTGACCGAGGTTTTCTGGCCCCAGGGGTGACCCAGAGCACTGTGTTCTCCTGTGAAGCTCACAACCGGAAGGGCCTGGCCTCTTCCCGCCCAGCCACGGTCCGTCTCCAAGGTAGGAGGGCTGGTGGGAGAGGGGTAGGTGAGGCAGGGGCCTTTTCAGTACACCCCCCCCTCCCCTCGTGACACCCCCCTCCCCACCGTGGGGGAAGGCAGAATCATCTGGTGTTCCAGCTCTTCTCAGCCCTGCTGGGAGCTGAGGATGAGGGGTTAATTGGCACAGCTCCATTCCTTGTGGGAGCACCTGAGACCCTGCTGAGGCTGAAATGAGAATAGAAACCTGACGTCATGGCAGATTTCCCATCTTGAAGCAGAGCGCTCGGGAGGAGGGAGAGAGGGAGCCAGCAGGAGATGGTCAAGGCTCATGCCCAACCGTGTTTCTGCCAGCCCCATGTGGCGGGAGCGGGGGAGGGGGAAATGGCCTGGCAGGATGATAGAGGAGACCCTAAAGGGCTGGTTTGCACAGAGGGAGGGAATGGGCTGTGGCTGCAGCGACTTGCTCTCCCAAAACCTCACGCCCCCGCCCCCCACTCCCATGATCTTATCTCTTTCCTTGATCAGACAGAGCCGGGTTCCGGGAGAGGTAGCCTCTCGCCACAGCCTGGGCACAGTCCTGGGTGTGAGCATCTGTCTCCTGCTGGTGGCTTGGCCTGTCTATTACTGTGGTCCTGGGAATGCTGGGTTTAAGAGGGACAGATCCTAGGGAGGAACTCAAGGCTTGACGCCCGTACCTTTTGTCCCCTTCTCTCACATCCTTCCTGGGCACCGAACTCCAGGGCACTGACTCTGAGTTCCCATCCACAGCACTGCCCGCAGCCCCCTTCAACATCACCGTGACCAAGCTCTCCAGCAGCAATGCTAGTGTGGCCTGGACGCCGGGTGCTGATGGCAGAGCTGTGCTTCAATCCTGTACAGTCCAGGTAAACGGAGAGGGGTGGGCCAGGCTCTCCTGGCCATGCCGAGCTTGTTCTGGCCGTCTTGGTGGACAGGGGTATCACAGTAGATACGCTAGACTTGCCCATGGGGTGTGGCCTCCAGCTCTAGTCAAGCGTTGTTGTTCCCTTACCTGTTATCATAGGGTGCTCCTGCAACCCTGTGACTCTGCAGGTTGGCTGAAATTCATGCATTCCTCAGGCTGGAAAGCAAATCACTAGAGTAGATTTGGGGTGTCTGGAAGGGTTTTTCTTACGTTGACGAAAACCCAAACCTTTGGTTTATCTGATGAGTGCACTCGCATGCCTCACCCCCTCAGTCTTGCCAAAGGGAACAAAGGGACTAGGCGGGATTCTAAGCCCCAGAGAGTGGAAAACCTGGGTAAGGTGATCCTGAAAACAAGCGGTGACGCAGGTTTACTTTCGGATGTTTACGCAAAAGGTAATGAGCCTTAGCCAGTTTGGTTCAGTGGATAGAGCCTCGGCCTGCTGACCACAGGGTCCCGGGTTCGATTTTGGTGCTCCTCCCCGGCCCAGGTCCTGGTTAGGGCTCTTGCAGGAGGCAACCAATCAGTGTGTTTCTCTCACATCCATGCTTCTCTCTGCCTTTCTCCCTAAAAATCAATGGGAAAAATATCCTTGGGTGAGGATTAACAAAATAAGTAAATGAATAAAGTTATTATTCTTTTTTTAGAGGTAAAGAGCACTTTTGAAACTGAGACAGTTCCCCCAGGAGAGGCCCTTGCTCTGGGCTCCACCGTTTAGAGGACCCCTCTCTGGCCCCCCTTTAGCCGCACCCCTCCACCCCCTCCTCCTGGGCAAGTGGGACATGTCTGTCTAGATCATGAGGACAACTCCTCCTCCTCTCCCCATAGCATACCATATCCTAGACACTCAGGATTTCTTGTCTTGTGGCAAGTCTGCTCCTGGACCTGTGTGGGCCTCTTCCTTGCTGCACCCTTGGGAGGGAATGGTGTGTGCACCTCCTTGTCCAAGGGCAGCCATTTATGGGGGGTGGGCATGCAGGCAGTATTTCCACACCCATGCGCCTGATAGCCCTCACGGAACAGATCTTGTGCCTCTGCATTCTGGCTTGGGAGTCCAAAGGTTTGGAGGATTATAAATGCCAACCTGACCTTCCAGGTTGATTTGAAGCTTTGTTTGCCAGTATATTAAGAAATACTTTGTTTAGCCGAAACTGGTTTGGCTCAGTGGTAGAGCGTCGGTCTGCGGACTGAAAGGTCTCAGGTTCGATTCCGGTCAAGGGCACGTACATTGGTTGCGGGCACATCCCCGGTGTGGGGTGTGCAAGAGGCAACTGGTTGAGGTTTCTCTCTCATTGACGTTTCTAGCTCCCTATCTCTCTCCCTTCCTCCTCTCTGTAAAATATCAATAAAATATATATTTAAACAAAAAAAGAAATACTTTGTTTAATAATTTGTTAGCTATTTTATAACATTTATTTTAAAAATATATATTTTATTGATTTTTCACCAAGAGGAAGGAAGAGGAATAGAGAGCTAGAAACATTGATGAGAGAGAGAAACATCCATCAGTTGCCTCCCACACTCCCCCCACTGGGGATGTGCCTGCAACCAAGATACATGTCCTTGACCAGAATCGAACCTGGGACCATTCAGTCCGAAGGCCGACGCTCTATCCACTGAGCCAAACCAGTCAGGGCTGATTTATAACATTTAAATATTTAGCCATAAGGATCTCCGTTTGTGCTGTTGCCACGGGCTCCCAAAATGGCAGGTGAAGGCCTGGTTCACGATGTCCCTAGGCTCCCAGCTCCTCTGCCCTTGAGAAGCTCTGAGCTTGTGAGCTGGCTGGCACACCAAGTGGTAACAAAGATATGCACAAAGGGGCGTGAATTTTCTGGAGGACCCGGGAAAGGCTTTCACAGAGAAAGTGGCGTCTGAGTTAAAGGACGAGTTGGACTTTGCTAGGAAGAGCAGGTCATTCTAAACAAAGGGAATAGCATTTGCAAAGGCGTGGCCTGCAGTGCGAACCTGGTGTGGTATTGGAGGGGGGCTGGTGGGAAGGGATGGGTGACAAGTGTTTGTGATAGACTTAGAGGAGGCATTAGCTCAAGTCTCCCCACCTATCCGCATATCTATCCCACCTTTTGTCTCCCTCTCCGTTATTAGTTTTCTGCTTTTCTCTAGGTGACGCAGGCCCCAGGAGGCTGGGAGGTCCTGGCTGTTGTGGTCCCTGTGCCACCTTTTACCTGCCTTCTCCGCGACCTGGCACCTGCTACCAACTACAGCCTCAGGGTGCGCTGTGCCAATGCCTTGGGGCCTTCTCCATATGCTGACTGGGTGCCCTTTCGGACAAAGGGTCTAGGTAAGGGACTGCCGGAGCAGAGTGGCCTCGTCAGCTCCAGTTCTGAATGGAGTTGCCTGGAAGAGGAGCCACCAGAGAGCAAGCTTTTTGCATCTGTTGGCAAACACTGAGTGCCAGCAGCAAACGTATGAACTAGATCAATCTTACCCCCATCCCATGCGGCTCTAGTTCTAGTGAGTGGAACCGAGGAGCAAAGTAGATAAGATCAGATACAGAGAGGGCCTAAGGAATGAGCCCCGCTGCGGGGATATCACTGCAGGAAGAGGGCACAAGGAGTGCAAAGACTCCATGGCGGGAACTTGTTTGGGGCTCCTTAGCAATGCCAGGAGGCTGGCTGGACTGGGACAGGGGAGTACTCAGAGGAACACTCTGCCTAGCAGGGTGCTGCCCTTGCTAAGCCTCCTCCCCAGGACATGGGCGAAGCCGTGAGAACTGGGAGACAAGCTCTCCCCCGCCTGCTGATCTCTTAGCTGCTTAGTTTGTGGGAGTTGGCTCCGTGGGATAGTGATGGTGGCAAGGGCAGGGCTCTTAGCAACCCTCTCCTTTTGGGTTCAGCCCCGGCCAGCGCTCCCCAGAACCTCCATGCCGTCCGCACGGACGCAGGTCTCATCCTGGAGTGGGAAGAAGTGATCGCCGAGGGCCCTTCCGAAAGCCCTCTGGGACCCTATAAACTGTCCTGGGTTCAAGACAACGGCACCCAGGTAAGGGAAGGCACCCAGGTAAGGGAAGGCACCCAGGTAAGGGAAGAAGACCGGAGCCTCCCTCTCTCTAGGTGAACAGAACCGCCCCTGCGGGCTCCAGGGCCTTTGGCTTCAGAATGGCTGTCCTTGGTAGGCCTGGGAGCCTGGGCTGGGCCTCCCCCACCCTGGAAGCCTGCTCCTCCCACCTTCCCCTGCAGGCTGCACCTCTTCTTGGATTGTGTTTCCTGTTAGGGTTGCATCCATTGGCTACTTTGTATGTAAAGCAGGAAGCACATTTCTTCAACTGGGGGGAGGGCCCAGAGAAGGCCTTTTTATCTGCAGCCCAGTTCCCTCCCATCCCCCACCCCTGCGTTCCAGGGACTGAGCCTTGTTTGTGTTTGGGAGAGGCCTCTGCCGCCTGGAGCAGGAATGTGATAACGTCCCCGCAGTGGCCCTAGGCTCCCCTGTTCCTAGCGAGACCTTTTTCTGCCCGTGGGCCGTTGGAAGCCTTTTTTCTGACTCCGTGTGGGCTGGGGGCTTTTCTTGGCTGCAGGGTGAACTGATGGTGGAAGGGACCTGGGCGAACTTGACCCTCTGGGATCCTCAGAAGGACCTGGTTGTGCGCGTGTGCGTGTCCAATGCCGTTGGCTGTGGGCCCTGGAGTCAGCCACTGGTGGTCTCTTCTCATGACCATGCAGGTGAGGCCCATACAGAGAGGGGACAGGATGGGGGCCTTCAAGGGGGCGGGCAGCATCCTCCCTCCCAACAGCCCCAAAGACTCAAGTCCAGCAGCTGAGGCTAGGGTTGACATTTAAGCTGGATCTCCTTCTCTGGCTGTGCTTTAGAGCCCAATACCAGGGCCTGTCACCTCAAGGTAGGAACGCTCAGGTCTTCCTTTGCAGCCTTTTTCTGCTCAGGTGTAAGGCCGTGGTGGGCAAACCACGGCTCACGAGCCACATGCGGCTCTTCGGCCCCTTGAGTTTGGCTCTTCCACAAAATACCACGTGCCCTAATTCAGTTAATAACAATGTACCTACCTATATAGTTCAAGTTTAAAAAATGTGGCTCTCCAAAGAAATTTCAGCCGCTGTACTGTTGACATTCGGCTCCGTTGACTCATGAGCTTGCCGACCACTGATTGAAGGGAATCTCTTGTCCAGGCCGGATGGCCATCGTCAGGAAGTTTTAAAGGGGACTCCTTGGTGCCAGCCGACCTCATGCCGCTGTCTCCCGCAGGCCAGCACGGCCCCCCGCACAGCCGAACGTCCTGGGTGCCGGTGGTCCTGGGCGTGCTGACAGCCCTGGTGACGGCCGCCGCCCTGGCCCTCATCCTGCTTCGAAAGAGGCGGAAGGAGACACGTTTTGGGTAAGAGGTGGGGATCCGGGGGGAGGAAGGTGATGACTGCGGGCCTTGGGGCTGACCCCACGCCCTGGACTTCCCTTTAGGCAAGCCTTTGACAGTGTCATGGCCGGAGGGGAGGCAGCTGTTCACTTCCGGGCAGCCCGGTCCTTCAACCGGGAAAGGCCTGAGCGCATTGAGGCCACACGTGAGTGGCGGGAATCGTGCGAGGGACGCGTGGGCTGTCGGGTGCCGCTGCCTGTGTTCCTTCTCCTAATTCATTCATTCGGCCTGCATGTCTGAACCTTGGTGAGGGCCGAGGACACAGCATGGAAAAGACACGCGGCCCTGACCCAGTGGAGGCTGTCATTCTGGCCGTGGGAGAGCTCGTGTCTGCCCCGCGGGTGGAGTCGGGCGTAGGAGGCACGCGGGGTTTGGGATTGGGAACCAGGGCGGTCCCGCTCCTTCCTCACCACCCCCTTGCCGACAGTGGAGAGCCTGGGCATCAGTGATGAGCTGAAGGACAAGCTGGAGGATGTGCTCATCCCCGAGCAGCAGTTCACCCTGGGCCGGATGTTGGGCAAAGGTATTTGGGGGCCCGGGCAGGGGTTGGCGTGGGTGGAGGTTACCCTGTCCGGGCGTGCTTGGTTGCTCCCGTCACATTGAGGGTGTGGATTTCGGTTGGCTCCTATAAACAGGATATGCTTATAAACTCCTGAGTGTGGGATTCTTGAGGGAATGGTAGCCGGGATGAGGAGTGCTGATGAGGAGTTACTCCGAGCATACTTGGCTTTGGCTGCGGAAGAGGGAGCCTCCGCCGATAGCCCCAGGGTCTAATGAGTTTGTGCCCCTAGAGAGGGCCCCCTGGGAGGGGTGCGGCGGAGGGCAGGAGGGTGAGGGGACTCACCACCCTTTGGGTTGGCTTGTAGGGGAGTTTGGCTCAGTGCGGGAGGCCCAGCTGAAGCAGGAGGACGGCTCCTTTGTGAAGGTGGCTGTGAAGATGCTGAAAGGTGAGTGGAGATCAGTGCGTGGGGCGTGAAGGCATCACGTGGGAGGGTGAGAGGGGTGGCTGGCCCTGAAGCAGGCTCTGCGGGCCCTCAGACTTTCCAAGAGGAGTTGGCACTGACTGGGATGCCACGTGAATAATTCACAGACATGAGCCCACACACATCCGTGCCTCAGCCTTTGCTCTCTGCTGTCAGCTCCCTCAGAGGGATGAGAGCTGTGGTTGTTTGAGCTGCTGGGCTGTCCAGTGAAAGGCATCAGCAAGTGGAGAAACTTCAGTAGCACCACTCCGGTAGCAGGGTTTCTCCTGCCCCTGGGAAGCCCGGGACATCTGGAAGACAAGGCCTAGGAGCCTTGGGTCAGAACTGGGGCCATAGCTTCCTCCATCCCTCCCTCCCACCCTTTTCCCCCAGCGGACATCATCGCCTCGAGCGATATTGAAGAGTTCCTCAGGGAAGCGGCGTGCATGAAGGAGTTTGACCACCCGCATGTGGCCAAGCTTGTTGGTGAGCTTCTCAGGGGAGGCGGGTACAGGGGAGGCAGGAGGGCAGCCTGTGGGAGGGGAGGTCAGACTCCTCTGATTAGTGAGCAGATGGCAAAACGGCCAGGAGGTCCTGGCTGAAGTGGGATCAGACTCCAGGTCCTGCCCCAAAGGAGGAAGACAAAGAAGATGCTCCGGAGATCGGGGGCAGCCACAGTGCATCCGAGGTAGTCACCAGCCAGAATGGAGCTTGTGGGGCAAGAGGTAGCAGAGTCAGGGCTAGAGACAGGACCCAGCAGCGAAGGGCTCAGGCAGACACCTGAGCCATCCTCTGACGAGGGGGTGCCCGCTCCCGACTCTCCCCTCTTCCCAGGGGTCAGCCTCCGCAGCAGGGCCAAAGGCCGCCTCCCCATCCCCATGGTCATCCTGCCCTTCATGAAGCACGGGGACCTGCACGCCTTCCTGCTCGCCTCGCGGATCGGGGAGAACCCCTTTGTGAGTGCGGGGGGTGGAGATGGCCAGGAGTCAGGAAGGGACAGAGACCCCAGGGAAGAGGCTGACCGGGGTGGGGGGGGGGGGGGGAGGGCCCCATGAGCTGGTTGGGAGAAGGCGGGCCCTGCGTTTGACTCTTTTTTTTATCCTGGCTGGGAATGTTAGGCGGGGCAAGGACTTTTCTAGGCGAAGAGACCTGTGAGGCCCCAGATCGGGGCAGTCTCGACTCCTGGGCGCTCTGGAAGGTTTGCCAAAGCTTCCTTGCTTTGGGAAGCCCCTCTGTCCCCTTCCTTTAAGTCATTCCAAGGAGAGTCTAGGCTTTCTGGCCACGGATCCCCATGTATCCTGCCCCGACTGGCCGGACAGATCCAACCTGAGCGTGCTCTGTCTGCCCACCAGATCCTGCCCCTGCAGACCCTGATTCGGTTCATGGTGGACATTGCCTGTGGCATGGAGTACCTGAGCTCCCGGAACTTTATTCACCGAGACCTGGCTGCTCGGAACTGCATGTATGTGAATTCCCGGCTCGAGGTGGGAGAGAGTGGCTGGTGCTGGCTAACGGGCGGCTCTTGCCTGGGGCAGTAGCTGCTGTGCAAAGCGACAGCTTGGGAACAGAGTTGCCCTGGCTTTGGTGAGGCTGCCACCCTTCAATCCTCCTCCCAGGCTGGCAGAAGACATGACGGTGTGTGTGGCCGACTTTGGACTCTCTCGGAAGATCTATAGCGGGGATTATTACCGTCAGGGCTGTGCCTCCAAACTGCCTGTCAAGTGGCTGGCCCTGGAGAGCCTGGCGGACAACCTGTACACGGTGCACAGTGACGTGGTGGGTCTGGTGGCGCAGGGAGCTCGGTGGTGACGGGTGGGCCAGTGGTGTGGGCGGACCCTCCAGGCCCGGCCCGGTCAGCGCTCTGGGCCTTGGCTGGCTGTGTGAGACTCCTGAGCCCCCGGGAGTGCTTGCCACCGGGCTCTGCCTGGCTCAGGAAGCCTGTGACACCTCTCCTCCTCGCCCCCTTCCGTCCCAGTGGGCCTTTGGGGTGACCATGTGGGAGATCATGACGCGCGGACAGACGCCCTATGCTGGCATCGAGAACGCGGAGATTTACAACTACCTCATCGGCGGGAACCGCCTGAAACAGCCTCCCGACTGTACGGAGGAGGTGTAAGTGCCCGGGAAGGGGGTTCTGGAAGCAACGGGAATTTGGGGTTTCAGCTGATGGCTACCATCACAGCTGCTGGGCCAGAGACAGCTCAGAACCTCAATTAGATCTTTTCTTTCTTTTTTTCTTTTCTTTTCTTTTCTTTTTTTTTTTTTTAAGAAATGTCTTTATTGTTCAGGAAAGTCTGATCTTTACCCTAAATTTCTTTTTTTATCTACCACTCCTCTTGTTTCCTTTTTTTTCTCCTTTCCCATATCATATTTCTTTTTTTAAAAAATATATATATTTTATTGATTTTTTTACAGAGAGGAAGGGAGAGGGACAGAAAGTTAAAAACATTGATGAGAGAGAAATATTCATCAGCCGCCTGCTGCAGCCCCCCACTGGGGATGTGCCCACAACCAAGGTACATGCCCTTGAGCGGAATTGAACCAGGGATCCTTCGGTCTGCAGGCAGACGCTCTATCCACTGAGCCAAACCAGTTAAGGCCCACCTCATCTTTCTTGCTCTAGCCTTTCTCTGTTACTCTGCTTTCCCCAGCTTCCAGGAAGAACCAGGAGCCCTGAAGGCAGAGTTACAGGCCTGAGCCGCAGTCAGTGCGGGTTTCCCTGTCGCTTTCCCCCCATCCCCCTCCTGTGCAGCCCCAGCCAGTCTGAGGAAAGCTCCTGGCGGAGCGAGTGCCCTCCCCAGAGAGGGCTGCACAGGGAGGGAAACTGCTTAGTCTGTCACATTCCTTGCAGGGAGGAAGGTTGGGTTCCTTTCTTGTTTTGGCCTCTTGAGGGAGTAAGGGGACTCCCTCCCACTGGTGCTAGTGAAAGGTCCTCTGGGGGCCCAGGAAGACCCTGGCTTACATGGTGTGAGGGGATAACACTAGAGCAGAGAAGTCATAGCAGCTTTTTTTTTTTTCCTTTTAAATGTATTTTTTTTTTTTTTTAATTTTAGAGAGGAAGGGAGAGGGAGAGATAGAAATATCAATGATGAGAGAGAATCATTGATTGGCTGTCTCCTGTGTGCCCCCTACTGAAGATTGAGACTGCAACCCAGGCATGTGCCCTTGGCCGGAATCGAACCTGGGACCCTTCAGTCCTCAGGCTGATGCTCTATCCATTGAGCCAAACCAGCTAGGGCTAGCATCATGTTTAAGAAGCACCTATTCTAAAATGACAGAGGTCTAGGTTCAAGCCTCAATTCATCCGCTTAATAGCTGTGTGACTTTGATCATATTACTTAACCTCTTCAACGCCAGTCCCTCAACTACGAAATGGGTTAAAAATAATCTTTTTCTCGTAGGAGGAGAGGAGGATTACCTCAATATTTCTTGCTGTGGAGTTGGCCCTCTAGCAGTCCAAGAACATAGACGGGTAGAGGAAGATTCAGCCTGAATGGCGAGGTCCTCTTTCTCTAGGCAGTGAGTCCGTGCCCTGAGCCTGGACTGTGTGAGAGAAATATGAGTCATGAACCCGGCCCTACCCCCCTATTCATTCAGCAGAGCTCAAGGCATGGCGGGGGCAGGAAGGTCGGGTTGCCCTTTGGGGGCAGCCTGCCTAGGCCTCTGGAGCTGCAGAGCGTCTGCTGGGCAGTGGGGACCAGTCCCTGGCTCAGTCTCCGGGACTGGAGCTCATGTTGTCAACAGAGGGTGGGCGGATGCTGGCCTCCCACCAGCAGCCCGGTGGACAGGCGCCAGTTGGCTCCTGGCAAAGCTCTGACCATGTGTCCAGGCCTGGACAGGGACTCATGGCCCTGGACCATTCCCACGGCCTACACGGTGTCTGGCATGACCCCCGCCCCCCATCATTGGGGGCCCAGTCAGGAAGGCTGGTGTGTGGGGAGTGTCTGGAACTTTTATTGTGGAAACTGCCAGAGAGTCAGGCATTTGTTGTCTCCTACTAATCTGGTCTCAGCCCCTTCCCCTTAGTGTTTGTTTTTTTTTTTTTCCTCTTTTTTTTCCTCCTCAGCCTGAGGCATGCCCTAGGCACAGGGTAAGGCCTCAGGGAATCTGTAAGGTTCCTGAAATTGTGTGTCAAAAGTGTTCCAGTCCTGGGAAGAGGGCTGGAAGCTTTCTCAGATTCTCAAAGGTATTCCTTGAACAAAGAGATTTAAGACTGCCTGAATGGGTGAGGATTTAGGACAAAACGTGGCTGCCCAATCTACATTCCTGGCTGTGTTCTACGGGACAAAAACTCTTAGTACTTCCTCCCAAGACTGAATAGGAGGGACTTTGGGGCCAACCCACCTGGCTCCCAATTGCAGCTTCATTACTTTCCACCTGTGTGACCTTCATTCAGGTTCTTAACGTCTCTCTGCCCCAATTTCCACAGTGGTAAAGTAGGATCACTTATTTCATAGGGTTGTTGTGGTAATTAAATAATAAATATAGCCCAGCCAGCATAGCTCAGAGTTTGAGCGTCGACCTAGGAACCAGGAGATCATGGTTTGATTCCCGGTGAAGGGCACATGCCCGGGTTGTGGGCTCGATCCCCAGCAGGGGACGTGCAGGAGGCAGCCAATCCATGATTCTCTCTCATCATGAATGTTTTTTCTCACTCTCTCTCTCTCCTCCCCCCCTCCCTCTTCCTTCCTCTCTGAAATAAATATTTAAAAAAATATAAAAAAACACAAAGAATTCAAAACCTCTTGCATTAAAAAATAATAATAAAAAATATAAACTACTTAGAAGAGTTCCTGGTAAGCCCTATACATGAAGGTGTTTTTATTTGTTTGTTTTTAATCCTCACCCAAGGATATTTTTCTATTGAATTTTAGCGAGAGTGGGAGAGAGAGGGAAAGATAGAGAGAAATATCAATCTGAGAGAAACACATCGATTGTTTTTTTTTGTTTTTTGTTTTTTAATATATTTTATTGATTTTTTTACAGAGAGGAAGGGAGAGATATAAATGTCGATGAGAGAGAAACATCGACCAGCTGCCTCCTGCACAGCCCCAACTGGGGATGTGCCCGCAACTCGGGTACATGCCCTTGACCGGAATCGAACCTGGGACCTTTCAGTCCACAGACCGATGCTCTACCACTGAGCCAAACCGGTTCTGGCGAAACACATTGATTGGTTGCCTCTTGCATGAGCCCCCATCAGGGCCTGGGTTGGGGAGGAGCCTGCAACCAAGAATCGAACCCTGGACCCTTCAGTCTGCAAGCTGACACTATTGACTGAGCCTAACCAGCTAGGGCTATATGAAGATGTTAAATAAAAAAATTTTTTTTTTTAATTTTTTAAAGTATATTTTATTGATTTTTTTTTTTACAGAGAGGAAGGGAGAGAGATAGAGAGCTAGAAATGTCGATGAGAGGGAAACATCGACCAGCTGCCTCTTGCACAGCCCCTACTGGGGATGTGCCCGCAACCAAGGTACATGCCCTTGACCAGAATCGAACCCGGGACCTTTCAGTCCGCAGACCGATGCTCTATCCACTGAGCCAAACCAGTTTCGGCTTAAATAAAAATTTTTAGATGCTGGTTTTGTATGACTAAGGGGGCTTCTGCTTTTGAGGGAAGGACCACCTTTCCCCTTTCTTCAGGCTCCTGACCACCTCCCTCACCCGTCTGTCTGCCCCAGGTATGAGCTCATGTATCAGTGCTGGAGTGCCGACCCCAAGCAGCGCCCAAGCTTCACCTGCCTGCGAATGGAGCTGGAAAACATTCTGGGCCACCTGTCCGTGCTGTCCACCAGCCGGGACCCCTTGTACATCAACCTCGAGGGCGCCGAGGAGCCTGCTGAGGAAGGGAGCCGGGAGTTGCCTGGTGGGGAACAGGCCGGTGGCGGGGCCGAGAATGGCAGTGGCGTAGGGGCAGTGGGGGGCACCCCCAGTGACTATCGGTACATCCTCAGCCCTGGAGGGCTAGCTGAGCAGCCCAGGCAGGAGGAGCAGCAGCCAGAAAGCCCCCTCAACGAGTCCCAGAGGCTTCTGCTGCTGCAGCAAGGGCTACTGCCCCACAGTAGCTGTTAGCCCCAGGCAGAGGGCACCCGGGGCCACGCGGCTGGCTCTGCTGGCTAACCTAGCCCCATCTGACCCCAGCCCAGGCAGCGGAGGGTGGAGGCTCCTGTGGTAGTCTTCCCGAGCTGCGCTGGAAGTCTGGACTGACCAAATCGCCCAATCCCAGTTCTTCCTGCAGCCACTCTGTGGCCGGTCTGTCTGGTCTCCTCAGTTTAGGCCTTGGCTGGGTGGAGGTGGGCCAGCCTGGTTGTCTAAACCCAGGCAGCTGGCAGGAGGGGGTGGTTATGTTTCCATGGTTACCATGGGTGTGGAGAGGAGTTGGAGAGTATATCTCGCCCTGTGGGCCCCTGCTAGTACTCTCCCGACTGAGCTGCCCTCCTGCCTAAGCGCACGCGTTGAGGTGTTTCTGGCCTGGAGGCCTGGAGGCCCAGGTTTGCCCCTCCCTCACAGAGATACCGTTGTGCTGTTCCCCTCTAGGTGAGGGTACGGGGTTGGTACAGTCAGGACCTAAGCCCTAAGGTGGGAGGCAGTGGGACACTCTCAGGTCACCTTCCTGCTTACCAACCCTGCTTAGGCCCGAAGTAAAGTGCAGCTGACCAGGTTACAGCAAGGCCTCCTGGATAACCACAGGCTACAGTTTGCCCAGTTTCTACAGGCAGTGCCCTGAGCCTAGCAAGAAGGGGTGCTGTAGGGCTTGCCCGGGAATGGGTGAGGCCAGAGAGGAGACCAGGAGCCCCTCTCCATGCCCTCTTATAGTGTCTGAGCATGCTACCAGACCCCCACACACCCTAAGGCTAACAAAGGCAGCTGTGTCTGAGCCCAATCCTCACGGCGTCCCTCAGTCCCAATGTTTCCTCCTCTTCTGCCCCAGGTCTCCCGGGATGGAGGGAAAACGCCGATAGCTGATGTGGGGGAGGGGAGGTGCTGGAGCCTGGACCCCAGTCCTGGCTGGGGGAGTGCATGGGTGGCCCCTGCGTTAGGAGCGTTTCCACACTGTTAGATGCTCTTTAAAACCAGAAATAAAATTGAAGACTAAAGACCCAAGGCTTTGTCTCTTAAATGTTTACTTTTCCCCCAGATCACAAAAATGAAGCATCTCTACGTAGGAAAAAAGTCTGGAAAGACATATGCCAAAATGTTAACAGCTGTTATCTTCACATGACATGATTGAGGAGGCTTCCCAAGTTTTTTTGCATTGAGCACAGACTGCTTTGGAAATTAGAGAAGACCCCAAAGAATCGTATAGGAAAGATAATAGTCATTGTAGACAATGGAGAAAATGCAGAAAATCATTTAAAAATGCTAAATGCCTATATCCTACTGGAAATAACCACCTTTTGAACATGCAAATGTGTTGCCATGGCTGGGTAGCTCAGTGGGTTAGAGCGTCATCCTGCTACGCCAAGGTTAGATGTTTGATCCATGGTCAGGACACGAGAATGAACCAATGTAGGCATAAATAAGTGGTACAACAAATCAATGTTAAAAAAAAAAAAAAAAAAGTGCTACAGTGCTGCTGGTCCTGGGGCCAGGCCTAGAAAAAAGAAAATGCAAAAGCTTTGAAAAAGCTCCTCACCTTGGAACAAGGATGAAAAGACGGCATTGGCTGCCTTCTACCCCTCTGTCAGACTCTGCCTCCTCTCCTGGGGTGGAGACTTTGTTCTCACCTTTCACTGTTGCCTGGAAAACTATCAAAGGAATCTGGGAAGAAGTGGGAGAGAGACTATCGAGCCTCCTGAGGATTAGAAATAAGAGAATGGAGCTTGCTTGCAAGTATTTCCACCTGAGGTTTTTAGTTTAGAAGCGTTTAGAGCCAGCTCCTGGGGAAGCGCAGCAGGAGGCGTGGGAAGAGGCCCCGCTGTGTGCTGGGCTGCGGGGACAGGGGCCGGGCTAAAGGAGAGGGAGCCAGACAGCGGCTTCTGAAGGCAAATATCCTGAAAAACCTGCTGCCGGTGCTCCAGAGCCTGGCTGTCACCTCGATCACCACACCTGCACTGAGCCCAGGAACGTGGCTTTTGGAATGTTTTCCCTGATGTGACTCAACTGCAGGTAATGACTATCTGTGAAGCAGTGTTTGGGAGTTACTGATTGAGAAGACCTGCATTCAAATAGTTGTCCGCTAATGGTCTGTTACATGCCAGGCACCGTGCCTAGCCCTTCATATATATTATCCCGTTTAATACATAGAGCATTCCTACAAAGTGGGACTATCCTTGCCATCCTCCCATAGGACAGAAATGCCAAGTAACTTGCCTAAGATTATTTATATAGGAGCTGGCAAAAGCAGGACTAGTGTTGCAATACAATAAACAATAATACATGAACCAACGTTTGTGGGTTCAACTGTAGACCTACTGATGCCCACCCCTGTCTAGCTAATGAGGGGTAGATCCAGGCTCCAAACCCAGAAGGCAGAGAGCAGAGTCTGTGCTCTCCGCCCACCGCTCCCGAGAGTGCCTGAAGCGCTATTGTACTCATGTCATCTTTTGGGTGAAAGCAGTCAGTAGTGGGCACCTTTTAAAATGTACAGGAGTTCTGAAATGAGTGTGTGGGAGTTATCTACCAGTAATTAAATCAGGGCAGATAATTTCATCAACTTAGTATCTTTTCATCAAGCACCTTGTCCCTGACCCCACCCCCCATCCCCAAGGTCAAGGGTTTGGAGGTAGGTGATAATAGTGGAATTAAAAAAAAAGACTTTTTATTGAAATACTAGAGGTCCGGTGCATAAAATTTCATGCACTGGATTGGGGGGGGGGGGGTCCCTCAGCCCGGCCTGCCCCCTTTCACAGTCTGGGAGCCCTCAGGGGTGAGAGGAGACCCAGTGATCAAGGGGAAGGCGATACTCCTATCACAACTCTGCTGCTGCCATTTCCGGCAGTGTAAACCTCGGCTAGCCCTAGTCACCTGACCCTCAGGTGGCCCTGCGCCACTGGGCAGCTGCCATCCAAGTCTCGCCTGTGCCTCGGGCTGGCCCTGGGCAGCTGGGGGGCTGAGGGAACTGGAGGACTCCAAAGGCTGGCACGAAGAGTGGCTAGATCTGCCTGGGGGCGGGCCTGGCTGTGCCATGCACCTGCCACCTCCATGGGGCTGAGGGGACTGGGTGCCGCCATCTTATGGCTGTGGGCACCGCCATCTTTGTGAGGGTGTGGTGGTCAATTAGCATATTCTCTCCTTATTAGATAGGATATGACACAAAAAGCACACTAATCAGGTGTATGGTCCTTAAGAATATTATAAACATAAATATCCAATAACATTACTAGCCTTCCAAAAGCAACCCTTGGGCCCTCCTGCAATGTCTATCTCCTCCACCTTCCCCAAAGGTAACTTCTATCCTGACTTCTAACACCATGATTAGTGTAGCTCTTTTGGAATATCATATAAATGGAGTCATATAGGTTGTATTATTTTGCTTGTCTTCTTTTACTCAGTAATTTGTTTTCCAGAATCATCTAATTGAAAGATTAAAGTCGGCAGTGCATGGGCAGGCTAAATAGCTATCTCAGAGGGTGAATAAAGAAAAATTAAATCTATTTAAGGAAAAGAGATTGGGGAATAGGGATAGCCAAAGGGAAGGGCTACACAGCACAGAGACAAAGGTTACTGGGTCCACTTAGGATGGTAAAAACAAGGGCATAGAAGAAGCAACAGGAGAGCCTAGACTGGGCTGCTTTGGCTCACTGGGAAGTCAGAGGAAAGGGGGCCTTGGAGATAGATTCAGGGGATTAGTCCGGAATGAACTGCCACTGCCCATTGCTCCCCTGGTTGCAAGTCCCATGAGGTCCCTAAGACGTTCGGGGATGTGTGCCTGTGGGGGAAGGAGAGAGAGAAGGGAATGGTACAGGTATGCTCCTTCGAGGGAGAGCATGCACTGGATCCTTTGTTCAGAGTGTATTTATCTCTTTTTTTAAACACTTTATTGAACTTTTATAAAGAAGAAAAGAGAGGAATAGAGAGTTAGAAACATCAATAAGAGAGAATCATCGCTCAGCTGCCTCTTGCACACCCCCTACTGGGGATGTGCCCGCAACCAAGGTACATGCCCTTGACCGGAATCGAACCCAGAACCTTTCAGTCCGCAAGCTGACGCTCTATCCAATGAGCCAAATCGGTTGTGGCTATTTATCTCTTAAAATAAATAAATATATATATATATATATATATATATATATATATATATATATATATATATTTTTTTTTTTTCCTTTTGATTTCAGAGAGAAAGGGAAGTGAGAGAGATAGAAACATCAATAATGAGAAAGAATCATTGATTGGCTGCCTTCTGCATGCCCCCTACAGGGGATCGAGCCCACAACACAGGTATGTGCTTTTGACTGGAATGGAACCTGGAACCCTTCAGTCCACAGGCTGACGCTCTATCCACTGAGCCAAACTGGTTAGGACCATTTCCCACTTTCTTGCAGGTGGAAACCTTAGGGCAGATCTCAGGAGAGGGACTTAATAAAATATTCATCAGCTTTCCTGGTGTGCTCTTTCAGGGTTGTGGTGTCTGTTAGGATGAACGATCCTAAATCTCTCCTGCTTGGACATGTTTTCTGAAATATATATTGTTATAAGTTATTTCCCATAGCTTGGAGTAGATGGCTTGTGCATGCAGAAGCAAGATAAGATGAATCCCCCTTTGCTTGACAGCCCTCTGCTGACTCCCTTGACCAACTCATGCTCTCCCCTCTGCTTGTGCATCCATACTCTCACTCTATATTGCCTACTTCTATCCTACGTTAGAGAACCTTACCACCGCTCAGGGCTGACACCGACATGCTGGTCTCAGCCTGCTGTGAGAAAAAGTAATAAAATTTATTTTCTTTAAAAAAAATATTTTATTGATTTTTTTTTTACAGAGAGGAAGAGAGAGGGATAGAGATAATTAGAATCATCGACCAGCTGCCTCTTGCACACCCCCCACGGGGGATGTACTCGCAACCAAGGTACATGCCCTTGACCAGAATCGAACCTGGGACTCTTCAGTCCGCAGGCAGACACTCTAT